TGCATCTACAGATATGTCATTATGACGTTTTGATATAAAACCCTTCGTCACTGTTCACCAGGGACTGAGCTGAAAGCTGCAGAGGCGGAGGTTTCTGGAAATGAAGAGTTTTTCATTTTTGAGATAATGAATTTAAAGTGACAGGGTCGTCTCTTTGGGGGAATAATGGTGTTTTGCAGTAAAAAAAAAAACCTGCTGCCTGCTCGTCTTTTCAGCATCCTCAGCTTGAAAATATGACATAAGAGTGTGAAGTATGTATCCGAGAGGTTCACTGGTTGCCATGCTCTTTACTTCTCATGTGTTGTGATGTTTACATGAGGAGATGAGTCAAAATCGGGGGTAAAAGAGGAATGCCGGTGCAGGAATACTTCCTGTTCGAAGCAGACTTAGTCTTAAAAATAGTCCTAATGAATCCAAAACCACGTTTCACTGTATTTCAGATGCTGTGGACGGGGGTGTCCTCATCTGAGCTCTTTGACCTTTACAGCTTTTTACTTAGTTGCATTCCCAAATCTGTGTTTTCTCACTCTGGCTTTTAAAAATGGATATGTAAGGAATCTAATTAACCTCTCAAAGGAGTTTAAGGTTTTTTTTTTTGGGGGTTTTGCTTTTAGTTAAGTCTTTTAACTGTCACTGTTTTTGTCAGAGTTCATGTCCTTTTTGGCAAATGGCTGCTTTTCAAAGACGCCTGGTGACTTTGAAAGTTCAAGAGGGCCCATTTTGATTAAATGCAGAGCAAAGCAAGGTCAGTTTGAAGGTGAAGGGGCACGGCAAACTGCACAGCTATGCACAGTTAAAGTTCATGATTCTATTTCTGCCTTTTGGGACTGAACATTTCATTTTTTTAGCAATGTGAAGGAGCTTTTTAATAGTCATCACTGTTTCTCTGCAAACAAAAGCTCCTTTTGAGACATTCTTCATCAATGAAAACAACTTAAAACTTAAAATATTTTCCCCCATCCCCACTGGCGTACAACTGAACCATTAGTGTGGGTAGCTGTTCTTGGGATCGACCACCACATAGAGCTGCAACGATTCGTCAATAGACAGGAAATTACCAAAGCAGCTTCTCCAGTTTGAGGATATGATGATTTCATGGACCAAACAAATAATCAAATTGAGTACCAATGAAAATAGTAGTTATTTTATCCATGTTGCCCTATGCATACATATGGTATTACATATATTTTACTGTGTTGTTGCATTGTAAATTCCAAAGCAAGTATTGCAGACTGTTTTCTTGCCCTTGTTGTTAGAAGAGGACTGAGAGGTATGCAGGTATGCAGCAAAATTGAACTGCAGATGTACTCAGCTGCAAATCTGGCAGCTAATTTACTCAACCAAGAGAACAGGTTTACTTGTAATGCAGCCAATATGTTGTTGTGCTGCAATTAAGGGTGAGCAAAAGGAATATAAGCGTGCATATAGGGCAGCTGAGGGCGAGCACAGAGGGTGACCTGGTTGATCCATATGTTTTCACAGGATCTGTTCAAAGCATCTCAGTTCTGCATGGACGAACATCTCACTTTCAGGAGTGTTTGGCGCTTTAACTCACATTTGGAGGAAAAAAAAACCCATCTCGGAAACAAAGTTTGTGACAGGGAAAGCAACAGGGATGAAGACTCTGAGGAACAGGGGAAAAGGATGATAAATAATTGCTGTTGATGGTTGCTCCTGTCAGAAATAGTAGCTGTTGGCAGATCAAGTTGAAGAAATGGAGAGGAGTTCCACTGACTCCTGAGGTTTTTTGCCCTCAGTTTACTGGTATATGAGCAGCCCTTGTCTCGTCTGGCGCAGGCTTTTGTTGTACGTGGTGCGGCGGAGCGGGGGGGCGTCCACCCAGTCGGCCTTCCTATACGCTGCTATGACAGTGCTCTCAAGAGCTGTCAGCCCACATCAGCAGCCCAGCATCCTGATAGCTCAGCCTAAATCACAATCAAAACCGTGGCCACCACATCCTCACCACAACCAGTCAAATCAGAGAAAGCAACGAGCAAAGAAGACACGAGGACCAACTATCACCAAGTAGCATTAAAAGTGTCTCGCGGAGTACTGCGTGTTCGCTTCAAATAGTCCCAGTGTGGGAGGGGCGGGGGGGGGGGGGGGGGGGGGGTTCAGTGAGCGCAGTGTAACAGGCTTTACAGTGCAGGCACACCATGTTGTGCTGTGAATGCAGTGCTAAGAGCTGAGCGTTAAGTCGGCCATTTTAGATTTGCCACAATTTGTAATGTGAGATCACTGCTTGTCACAAAGTCATGGCTTCCATACGTGCAGCTTTCACAGAGCACTCATGCAGAACGGGTCGAGAGTGTACCCCCTTTTCTCTGCTTTCCCTCTTTTGGCTGATTGTTGCTGTCATGCCTTTCCCACCCTTTTCAGCCATTGCTCTATTTTAGTGTTGTCTCCTACAGCAGGAACATAAATTTGTAAGAATACGAGACTTTCACTGATGAGCTCACAAGCTCTTTTACCCAAACAAAGGAGTTATTCATCGACGTACTCCAAATCAAAATCAGTGCTTAGCTTTTGAGCTAATGACGAATGACATTTTTGGTCTATGACTAGCCGAGAATAAGGCCATCAGCAGCGCTAATATCAGTGTGACGATAATTGGAATAATGATCTCGGGGAGGAACTGATGTATCAATTCCACTGACGATCATGTTACGTTATGGTTCCTGCAGTGAAAAAGGTCAGTCCAGCTTCATAGTTAACAGCAGTTCTTCCAGTTACAATTCGTTTGTTTCATGTTCCGCATTTCCTGCTAATTGTTCAACAATAAAATCGCTCACGCTTGAATGTAACCCAAGACAATGAACACCCAAACAATGGTAATCAAGAGCCCGTTGGAAGCAAAGTCGACTGACCATAAAATTGACTACTCTCTGGGGAAAACCCAAATATTTCCACCCTGTGTGCCATCACCTTATTGGGGTGCACTGAGGGTAACTTCTGAAAATGTTAACTTGATCCTCTTCAAATAAGTGAATTAGATAACGAGTCAATAAGTCGTACTGTGTCACAGCTCATTACCAGGAAAATGATTATTCTTGACTGTGGATAAGTTATCAAGTTAATTAATTATTGATGTTGTTACCCAACTCAACGTTGACCTGGATTTCATCCAAGTTTTAATGCTTTTGAAAGTCCAGAAACCATGTACACGACTCGATTATCATTTTTCCTCAAAAAATTAAAAAATTAAATCATGCATTTCAATACTAGCATCCTAGGAAAAAATTCTAAAGCACACTGTGCCCTAGGCTTTACCAAAAGATTCTCCATAAGAGCCACAAAGAGAGAGTTTACCTTTATGTAGCGCAGGACACAGTAGACGATGACCACTTTGAGCGTTGCAAGATTAAAAATCGCAAAGGGAAAATATTTTTTTTCCCCTCTTCCTTTTGCTCTGCCCAGGACAAACCGCGCCTCCCGATTGGTCCGAACCAGCAGGTCACATGAGCGACCAGAGGAACACGTGACACTTCTCGGAATTATATGATGAAATGAAACCGCCCGGCATCCTCAATGAGCACGGTTTAAGTTGCTGCGGTGCGATACTGTGTTTGCCATACTGTTTGGTGTCAAGTGTAAATAGGCCGAATGATGAGGTGTAATCTGGGTGACCATCACCCACCTCCCCATCAGCGCCCCCCTCCTTCCCTCAGATGCAACAAAAGGGGGGCATGCCCAGTGAGGCACGCGGGCATCGTGGGGGCATGTCTGGGGATGAGGTGGCCTGAATCAGTGCTGTAGCCTCCAGGGCGCTCGTGTGTCCCAGGGGAGGGTCGAGCACCCCCAAAATCCACCGAGCTATTGTCTTTGTCATTGTTGATAACAATTGACACAAGAATAACCCGGCTGCATGTTCAAATAATGCTTTTCTTGGATTAAAAACACAGCTGTGAGGGTTTTCTCATGTGCAGCAATGAGGGACTCAGTCAGGACAGTTGAGGAACTTTTTGAGCTTGATGCATCTCAAAGAAGTAGAGGTCAAACCAAACACACACACACTTAGACATGCACACAACCCCAGCAAACACACTACTGTGACATGCATATCCTCTCCAACCCCTCTGTTCCTCTGCTTTTTAATCTGCTTCTCTGTGTGGATGTGTGTGTATGTGCAGAATTAGAATTACAGAGCTTTGGAAGCATCCCATCCAGATTTTCCAATCCAGCACAAATCCAGCCCTCATGTCAGATGGACAGTTGTGCAGGGCTTAATCTGACATTATTAGGGTTGGACTGCAGCAGTGGCAGAACGTTTAAGGGAGCTGCCAGGGAAAAGCAAACAGTGGGGTTATACTGTCTGGATTAGGGGCAATGCAGACAATGAAGAACATGTTTCACCTCATTGTCAATTGTTTTCATTTAGCGCAGATGCTCTCCATGCAAAATACAGTCTGACATCAAACCAAAAAATAATAACGAGGCTTGCAATATATGCTTTTAATGTTTGTGTGCAACACAAAATGATAACCATCATGCCTTTACCTACCAACCCGACTGTAAAATGGCCCATGGGATAAACTACAAATAGAGCATTAAATTTGCTCCACATTGAATCATAAGAGGCAAAAGAAGAGTGAGTGGGGTAAAATCGAGCACCACATCAGAGGAAATCTGCTTTATATTCAAATGACACCATTGGCTCGCCTTCAAAACCCAAAACTAAGTGTGGTGGTAGCTCTGGATAAAAACTAGTTTACATAACATTCTTGTATAATTGAGTAAAGTCTAATCTTCATTAGTACTAAATGCGTTCTGTCCTCAGTCCTTTGAGAAATGACATATAATCTGTCAAAAGTTATGTGATAGAGGAGTATTAATGGCTTAGGGGGTCATAATAAGCCATCTAAATGAAAAACTGAAATCGTAGAGAATTCTCTATGTAATAAATTGACAGTATTTGTGAGATGAAGATAGAAATAGTCAAGCATTGTTGTTTAGGTCTGTTTGATGATGCCCCTCTTTAGGTCAAAGGTTAAACTGCTTACCGGTGAAGTTGCAGGAAAGCTCCTGGTCAGGAGAGAGGAGGTGCAGCCTGGGAGTTTAAGACCAAGATGGCAGATTATGGGCACACTAGGGGCTGGGGCGGCTCCCATGGCCCTATAAATTGACTAACCCCCCGCCCATGGCCTCCAGCAAGGTGATGGACTCAGGCTGGTCCAGCAAGCACATACATCCCCCCCACCCCACCCATTATTGCAACCCCACACCGAACAGAGCTTGTCCTCATGGCCACCCATGTATCTTATCAGGGTGCCAGGGTCCTAATGGAGGCAGAAGGGCGTGAAGGAGAGGGTGAGGGAGATCACAGTGACGGTCAATCTCACTGATTGTTGACAAGCACAGGAGAGTGGCAACAAAAGGAGTCTGAGTCAACTGCACGAAGTAGCAAATTTTAACTTTTGAGTGTTATTAAATTGGGGCAGGGGCTGGGGCTGGGGCCGGCCGGGGTTAAGGGGTTAAGGGGTTAAGGGGCCAAGCATCAATCAAAATGTCCCTGGTTCATGTCCAGTTGTTTGTATGAGGATCCTTAGTGGTTATCGAGCTTCAGAACATTTTTAGAAGTTTATTTATAGAATCTAGAAAAAATCTTCTGCAAACTCAAAGAATACAGGAAGATTTTACACATGGATCATTTTATAGGAGAACAGACGAACAGTATTTTAGTTCTGGAAAAGTAAAGTCAATTTTGTGTGTAAGAGAGAGTGAGGCAAAGTGGGAGAGTGGTCATATTGGCTTTGAGCTATTTCTGCCACACTTTCCTTTGCAATCAATGCTGCTTTTCCATGAGTAACCAACAGCATGAAACTATTGACTGTCAGATAACTGGACCAAAGCCAGCCAGCTTAGCGGATGTAAGTCCAAAAAACTATTTACAACAATGGTTAAGTCCTGTTTATGAGGAACCATGTTAGAAAATTCAATAACTGACCTCATAATATTGTAATGTAAACTTTTGTGTACCACAAGGCACTACTCTGGGCCTCTATTTATTGCTATTAATTTACTTGTACACTGATGATATCTGGTGTTATATTTCTAATAAAGTGAGCGATAACTCCCATGGACTCATCCCTGAAGCATCTTTTCCCAAATTTAAGTTACAGGTGTTAGTGAATTCCAGCTTCTGAATCCCAACAAAACCTAAAATGTTGGTTATGGTTGCAGCTGTTAATTATAATCAAGTGCTAATATCATTTGGTGTCATTTCTATATTGATTATTTGATCCAAATGTTTAACTCTCTAGTCCTATTGTGTTTGTTCTGTGCTCTATCAGTATTTATCCCCGTCTTGGCTTCCATAGAAAACCTGAATGTGGGATAACCCTGTTTTTATTTCACTATATCTATTTGTTTTTTTACCTTTCTTTCCTTGTTAAATTGTGAAGGCTGAGGCTGTAACTGTGATTCAGGGCTGTTTAAATGCACTTGACTTGGACCACAGGGTGCCAAGAATTGTAATACATAAAACAGAGAAGCATTTTACCCTCCCTGCTGTATAACAATATGTTTTTTGTTTTTACTATTTTATATTGACATTCAGCATGAAAAATACATCCCCCAATATAATTTTAAAAAAGCAAATAGGGTTTTTACATTTCATTCTTTAACGGCAGCAGTAAATAATCTCATTTTTACCTTGATTTCCATCCCATTCATCCTGTGAAGAGTTCATGAGTATTAACATATTTTCAGCAGTACAGTTACTCATATTAGATGAATGGTGGTTTTCCATAAAGAAAATACTTAGCCTTGTTTATTGTCCTTTACCACAGTGTCTCCTCTGAGATTAAAACACTTTGGGCACAAAATTCAACAGACAAGTAATGACACAAATGATTGGAAAGAACAGACAAACAAAACAGGTAATAGACAAGATAAAACAACGTACAAGTTTGCCTTTTAATGAAAATGTCAGAAAGTTTAATATCTTATCTTCAGTGAATTTGTTCCTGCAGCCTGGCTGCTTAAATCCATAAAATGATGGTATTTATTTGGCAGCTGCTATTCTACATCGGCCCTCTCATTTTGATTTGCTTTTAGCAACTCATAACAAGCGCAACAGCAACCAAAAAGGAAATTGTCTCAGAGAAACCTGAAGCGGTTCAACACATTACAGCTATAAGGGAAATTTGAATGTCTTAACATAACTAAGGGCCAGGTTATACAAGGAAAGGAATTAGTTCATACTAGGTTATTATAATTTGTCCCATGGAGAACAGAAATCATCATGAAGGCAGTACAGTGGATAACCAAAGTCATTAGGATTCATCCTATGGGAATCATGAATGTCTGTACGGTATTTCATAGCGCTCCCTCCAATAGTTGTCCAGATATTTAATTCTGGATCAAGCTGGTCAACTGACCGACAAAAAAACCAAGCCTGGCTCAAAAGTTATAGAGGCCTTATGGTATTCTAAATATTGAATTATCACAAATAAGCCATGAACTCACCATAATCTCCCATTTCCTGGCCTAAATCGTTAAAAAACATTACTTTAAAGTGCATGACCTTTGCTTTCTTAAACTGAGAGTTGTGACGCTACAAAGACTTTTCAAAACACAATAAAATGAAAAAAAAAGCCATATGGCTCTGCATAAAAGAGGATTCAGAGATTCTTAGTATTGTGCAGTATGAAGGGGGGAAATTAGTGTAAAAGCAGAATGTAAAAGGTAATAGACACACAGACAAGAAGCTGTACTTAAACATAAATAACCCTAATCCAAAAAGAAACGCAGAGGCCCTTTTGAACCCTTTTCCGTTTTAAAATGTCTAACCATCCTCTTTTATGTTGAGAGTTTATCCCCTATAGCCATAACTGGAGCACTCTTATGTCTTGGGAACAATAAACCTCCCGTAAGTGTCCAGCATGCTCTAAAAAGCCTATGTCCATAACTCTAAAGCTGCTCCACACAAAGCAACTCCATGCTCCTAATGGAAAATATTGCCTGACCCTCTCCAGTGGTGTGGTCAATGCAGCCAGTAATGGGTACACACTGCCTCCTGGCAAAAACCGATGATGAATACACTTGTGTTTGGTGAGGAACTTTGACTGTGTCTGACTCCCCTGGGCTCAAACACTGTGTTCCTGCTTTGTTAGTGTAACAAAAAACAAGATACTGTACCATGTAGATGCAAGATACAATATGCAAGTTTGGTTTGCAGTTAAGTTTAGCTTGTCTCACACAGGGGACAACATATTACACATTGATGAGACGACAACACTTAGTCATAGAGGGATGCTGTTTTTCCCAGATTAATCCAACAAGCTGTCTTCTGAAGGGGTAAATGAAATATTAACCTTGATTTCCTGTGGAGATCTCGAAAAAAAAAACAAATCGGGGTCCAATAAAAGTTGTGAAAGAACATTTTTAAAAGCTGAGATATTACCTCAAACTCTTGTAAAGTATTGCCTTGACTTGTTGATCACTTTATTTAAATGAGTGTCCTCTTTAGACAAAACCAAAAACCCCCGTGAAAAAAATGCAGGAGCAGCCTGACTCAACCACATTCATGCAATTTACAGTTGTTGGATGGAACTTGCCAAGCAAAAAAAAGATGATCCTTATGTTTTATCTTCAACATTTGATCACTTACTAAATCCTCACCCTTTTGTGTACCTTAGTCTTTCCTTATCTAAATATGTTGTCTATACACAACCAAATATCCAACATCAGGGTGCATGCATTTGAAAAGTTGCAACCTTACACATTGGCAGCTTTAAATGACAACATGAGGTAGCCTGGCTGTTTTTAAAAAACTATACACCTGAGCTCTGACTGTTCATATTTCCTTTTCTACAAATCAGGATGCTGATGCTGCAGTTTCCGTTCAAATCTTGACTTGTTCATTTCTGATAACGCTTCTATTGTTGCTTCCACTTGCAGTGGGTAGTGTCCTATATGTAAACACACAGAGGTGTTGAAAATGGCACGGCCTTTTTGGGGTGCGTGCTTCAATCTGAGGATTACCTTGTTGGTAATACAGGACAGGACACTGGTACTGAGTCATAACAAACGCTCTATGACTGAAATCTATTTTAATCAACGCAACGCATCGACACATGGGCTCCCCTGGAACAATCCCGATGGGATTTAGACTCAAAGCGTCCGATGAGATCTGACATGTTAAGATGTGGCGCACATACAGCTGTGAAATCAGATGAGGATGATGAGCTGGGCGACCATGTGCTGAACTGTAGTGATATGAGCCAGGGGATTATAGGTACGGTAACTGCAGGGCAGGCAGTGCACATCTGGGATGGAGATGATTTACAGCACAGGGGACCCATGATGGATGAGTGGACGCACAGATGGACGTGTAGAAGAGTTAATGAGAAGATACCTGAGTGGAAGAAGAAACGGATGACTGGTGCATTGCAGAGGCAGAGCAAACCGTTTCCTTGGCCGTCCAAAGAGCGTAGTGATAGAAATCAGACCTGACCGTGCCAGAGGCTGGAGATGAGACGCACTCGCACACACATGGAGGAACATCACTGAACCTCAGAAGGACAATTTTTGACGCTAGCAATGTTAGAGGGCCCGTAACACACACGCACACACACACACACACACACACGCGCGCGCGCACACACACACACACACACACGAGAGAGAGGACAGCAGGGGCCTCAAGTAGCAGCAGAGTCAACTGAAAGAGCCAGAGTGGATTTGTGAAAGTGAAATCACACAGTAGACAAACGGTAAATCACAAAGAAATAAATGTTAATAAAGGTTTGGGTTGACTAGTTATTAGAAAGTTGAACAAGAAAAATGTGGTGCAGTAAGTAGAGCTGGAAGCAGAGAATGTTTTGAATCTCCTTTTGAAACAGTTAGTTATTATTAATTAAGGAATTAGGAATTATTTAATGGGGGTTCTTGAAAGCTACTGAGTTACCCGTGACCATAAATAGGAACTAATCCTAATTAAAAATACAGATCTGAAGAGAAATACAAACTGTCTGACATGATATGAGAGGCTACTGTTCGCATCCCAATTCCACTATTTAATTATTTTTATAATTTTTCTTT